TATCTATCTATCTATCTATCTATCTATCTAGAGAGCATTCAATTACACTTAGGCCTCTCTCTCCCTTCTTTTCTCCCCCCCCCCCCTCATATATATATATATGTCTGGATGGTCTCTTGTGATGAGCCGATAGACAGAGAAAGAAAGCAGTGAACTTCCTCCCATATTTGAGCATATCAGGGGTTGTGACATAAAATACATATATATGAGAGTATACACACACACACACTGCAGTGCCACCAGAGACCTTAACTCTGAGAAAGAAGCCTATCTCAACTTGTAAAAGTGTGATTGCCGGATCATTAGGTCCGAAATTAACAGTTGCCCATAAATTTGCCTACTGAATGGACTGGAAAAAAACATGGCAAAGACGGACGAGTAGAAAACAAAGGCAGGAGAAACTGGTGGGTTCTGTAAATGAGCCGAGATGATATGAAGCATAAACCATGATTTACCAACAGGGATGGTTTAACTCCTGCAGTAAGGTAGACGGAAAGTGTTACAGGTTAGGGCCAACTGTGAAGAGTTCAACTTCACACAATCTATGGATGTCAAAGCTTAACTGTCAATTCCCCACTAGAAAGACCCTCATTTGAGATGATGGGTCTTACGGGGGAAACAAACCAAGAGTTGCTTTGAACTTTAGGTTCCTAATAGGAAGGAGTGGTGCGGTGGCCTAGAGGGAGAGCTCTCGCCTCACAATCAGGAGGCTGTGAGTTCGATCCTAGGTAGAGGTGGATATTTTTCTCTCTCTGGGCACACCGAGAATATATCTGCTGGACAAAACTCCGCCTTGGTGACAGGAAGGGCATCGGGCCATTCTGCTAGTTCCATTCAGTTGCCCAGACCCCGATGCAAGGGATTTTGGGGTCGTTAAATGAAGATGATGATGAAAGGAAGTAGGTTGGCAGGTGGGGGCAGCGCTGTAATTAATTCCTTCCCCAATTGTCCTCCCCAAGTGTTTTATTTCCTCCCTAAGGCTCCTTACATTAAGGGAGAGAGGGGCTTTTGGAGGTTGATGGAGGAAACCAGGAGGAAGAACCTCTTTCTGTTCATCTATTTTAAAATGCCCAGTTTCTAGTGTGAAATAGCTGGACTATGAAGCACTAATGTGGTGAGATTTGGGTGGACAGGAAAACCTGTCTTCTCTGGCATCAAATGACATGGGAGCTTACTGTGATTCTGAATAGAATAGAATAGAATAAGAGAGATGGAAGGGACCTTGGCGATCTTCTAGTCCAACCCCCTGCTCACGCAGGAAACCCTAGAGCACTTCAGGCAAAGGGATATCCAACATCATCTTAAAAACATCCAGTGTTGGGTCATTCACAACTTCTGGAGGCAAGTTGTTCCACTGATCAATTGTTCCAATTGTCAGCAAATTTCTCTTGAGTTCTAAGTTGCTTCTCTCCTTGATTAGTTTCCACCCATTGCTTCTTGTTCTACCTTCAGGTGCTTTGGAGAATAGCTTGGCTCCCCTCTTCTTTGTGGCATCCCCTGAGATATTGGAAGACTGCTATCCTATCTCCCCTATTCCTTCTTTTCATTAAACTGGACATACCCAGTTCCTGCAACCGTTCTTCGTATGTTTTAGCCTCCAGTCCCCTAATCCTCTTTGTTGCTCTTCTCTGCACTCTTTCCAGAGTCTCCACATCTTTTCTACATCGTGGCGACCAAAACTGGATGCCGTATTCCAAGTGTGGCCTCACCAAGGCCTTATAAAGTGGTATTAACACTTCACGTGATCTTGATTCTGTCCCTCTGTTTATGCAGCCTAGAACTGGGTTGGCTTTTTTGCCAGCTGCTGCTTCAACCTCACTCTAATTCCTCTTCCCCCCCCTACGAAACCTGCCAGATCTGCGTTGGAGACCGTTTCCATATAGGATGCTTTGACTGTATGCTCTTCTCTCCCCTCCTCGTCTAGTCCTCTCAGGCCAATTTTCAGCCCAGCTTGTGACCTCTTTACGTTTCCCTTTCCCCTCGTGTCGAGCACCATTGCAAAATAAAACATTGCAGGAAATGTGGGACAGGGTGGAAGCCATTTTATTAACCACAGGAGGCGAGTCGCAGGAGGTGGGAGAAGCGGAAGGAAGAGCTAGATGCCGAATGACTGCAGCCCTCCATGGGTCTTCAGGAGAAGACTACACAGGTGGCCCCGCTGTCTCCATCTCTGCCTAAGCTGGGGAGCGGCAAGTTTATTTCACGCTGGAAAATAGAAAAGGGAGAACGAGAAAGATGGGAATGAAGAGAACGACGCTGGCGAATGTAATCCTTCCTGAGTGAGTGGCATAGCGGATTTATGAGCCTCTGTGGCGCAGTGGTTAGAGGGCAGTACTGCAGGCTCCTGCTAACTGCTAGCTGCCTGCAGTTTGGCAATTCGAATCTCACCAGGCTCAAGGTTGACTCAGCCCATCCATCCTTCTGAGGTGGGTAAAATGAGGACTCATATTGTTGGGGGCAAAAGGCTGACTCTGTAAAACGCTTAGAGAGGGCTGTAAAGCACTGTAAAATGGTATATAAGTCTAAGTGCTATTAAGCATAAGTCTAATCTTTATTGTCATTATACTTAAATACAACGAAATTGGTTATTCCTTCCTTCCTTCCTTCCATCCATCCATCCATCTACCCATCCATCCATCCATGGTGCACAGTGGTTACAATGCAGTATTGCAGGCTATCTCTGCCCACTGCCAGGAGTTCGATCCTGACCTGTTCAAGGTTGACTCAGCCTTCCATCCTTCTGAGGTGGGTAAACTGAGGATCTAGATTCTTAGGGGCAAAAGGCTAACTCTGTAAACTGCTTAGAAAGGGCTGTAAAGCACTGTGAAATGGTATGTAAGTCTAAGTGCTATTCCTTCCTTCCTTCCTTCCTTCCTTCCTTCCTTCCTTCCTTCCTTCCTTCCTTCCTTCCTTCCTCTTTCCTTCCATCCATCTATCTATCCATCCATCTATGATGCACAGAGGTTAGAATGCAGTATTGCAGGCTAACTCTGCCCACTGCCAGGAGTTCGATCCTGACCGGCTCAAGATCGAGTCATCCTTCCATCCTTCCGAGGTCCGTAAGATGAGAACCCAGATTGTTGGGGGAAAGAGGCTGACTCTATAAACCACTTAGAGAGGGCTGTAAAGGCACTATGAAGCGGTATATAAGTCTGAGTACTATTGCTATTATAATCTGCCTTTTCTAGAGTTTCTGTTGACTTAAGTTGTTTTAAATCCCAATGAAACGTGCAGCACGTTCCAAGAACAAAGCAGTTGCATAAACAAATTAGGGAAATGATGATTAAAAAAAAAACATTAAAAAGTTCAGGTAGCACACTCCGGCCAATTTTTGACCACACCATCCTCCCTGCTTTTAGGAAGTGGACTCACCTTTGCAAGTTTTCTTGTCCTTGTGCAGAAGGTAGCCAATGTGGCAACTGCAATAAAAGCCACCCAGGTAATTGTGACAGTGGTGGTCACAAGGCAACTCGCCATCCAGCTGCCCTTCGCACTCATCAATGTCTGAAAGAGGGAAAAAAAAACCAGAAATGGAGGACCAAGACTGGGGGCAAGGCTTGTAGAAGTAGCTGCTCACATGCAACATGGGAAATATCAAAACTGGATTGCAAGCTGTATTAGGTTATGGATCTCTTTGGTGCAAAGCTCTGTGGCTTTCCATGCCTTTTTTGCATAAAGATAAAGGCTCCCCTCGCACATATGTGCTAGTCGTTCCTAACTCTAGGGGGTGCAGCGGCGTTCATCTCCGTTTCAAAGCCGAAGAGCCAGCGCTGTCCAAAGACCTCTCCCTGGTCATATCGCCGGCATGACTCAACTCCCAAAGGCGCATAGAATGCTGTTCCCACCAAAGGTGGTTCCTATTTTTCTACTTGCATTTTTTTACGTGCTTTCGAACGGCTAGGTTGGCGGAAGCTGGGAAATGTCATGGGAGCTCACTCCGTTACACGGCGCTGGGGATTCAGACCGCCGAACTGCCGACTTTTATGATCGACAAGCTCAATGTCTTAGCCACGGAGCCACCGCGTCCCTGGCCTTTTTTAGACCTCTCCAAAATTCTGCGGTACAATCCCTGTGGTTTCCCGCCGTTTTGATTTACGCGCGAAACTAACCTGTAACTTCTGAAGAAGCACATTCTATGTGAAAAGAAAGACCACAAAACCAGATTTAAAAACTCTTATTTTGCCCCCTCGTACCTATTTCTAAACTTATATATTATTGATGGTGTCACATGGCAACGATTCCAGATTTGCCTTAAGAATGGTTTCCAGGAAATGCCGGACACTGAACTATCTGCCGACAAAATAGGTGCCAATTAAGGCAACCTATGATCATATCAGATCAGTGCCCATTGGACTCAGTACTGGGGTCTCAGCCTCCATCAATGGGGTCTCAGCCAGACCCCTTTCCCATTATGTTGCCACCTTTCCCCACTCCCTAGAGTCATCAAAACCCGGAGCCGCCTATATTTCCTCGTCTCACCTTCAGCAGCGTAGAAGGCCTCAAAGCCCGTGAACTGTTTCTCGTTGGAGTAATCCGATCGGAAAGTCACTTGTAAATTGTTATCAATGGAGCGGTATATCTTTTTCCCAGGGGCCTCCTCTGTGTCAGTGCTCTCTTGTCCGCAGAGAGTGGCCACGACCTTACCTGCTGAGTTCAGCTGTAAAGCAAACACACAGTGAGCTTTGCTGTTACTTGGTCTCCCTTAGCAATAGCAATAGCGCTTAGACTTACCCCAGCAATCTAGGTTCTCATTTTACCAACCTGGCAAGGACGGAAGAGTGAGTCAACCTTGAGCAGTTCAGGATCGAACTGCTGGCAATTGGCAGAATTAGCCTGCAATACTGCATTCAGACCACTGTGCCACTACAGCTTTTACCTACCATCCATCTATCACTATTTCATCCATCCATCACCTTTTCTCTCTCTCCTTCCCTCTCAATTATCCATCCATCCATCCATCCATCCATCCATCCATCCATCCATCTATCACAATAGCACTTAGACTTATATACTTCTTCAGCCCTCTCTAAGTGGTTTACAGAGTCAGCCTCTTGCCCCCAACAATCTGGGTCCTCGTTTTACCGAACCTCGGAAGAACAGAAGGCTGAGTCAGCTTTGAGCCGGTTAGGATCGAACTCCTGGCAGTGGGGAGAATTAGCCTGCAATACTGCAATCTCACCACTGCGCTACCATGGCTCTTGTAGCAATAGACATATATACCGCTTCAGCCCTCTCTAAGCAGTTTAGAGAGTCAGCCTCTTGCCCCCAACAATCTGAGTCCTCATTGTACCGACCTCGGATGGATGGAAGGCTGAGCAAGAGAATCTTGTTCCAGTTTTCTCTGAGCTAAGCCAATAGGAAACAAGGGGTCAGGTTGCTCGCTCATTCGTATGAAAAGTGCTCTCGCATGTGGGTCTACACAGTATCTATCTCAACATGCACACCAAGTGATACCACCTGTCAGTTGGACGTACTTTGACATAGTCGTATTCGCACTGGTAAGACAGCTCAAGGTTGAAGTGAGTGAAATAGATGCGGATGGCATAGCCCTGCGGCAGGGTGATATTCCATATCCTCTCCTTGCTGTTAGGATAGACGTTGGGGAAATCTGGGGAGGCGATCCTCCCGTACATTTTGTCTAGCCGAAGAATGTCGCCAAGTATCCCAGGCCACAAAGCGAGGAGGAAGAAGCAGAATCTGTGCCAGAGGAAATGGGGAAAGTTACACATGCATAGAAACACACATACACAAAACCCTGCAGCTGGCTGATCCTTCACTCATGCTGACTGTCATTCCCTCTTCCTTCCTCATCTCCTTTCCTTCCTCTTCAGATTTCTCAGCCTGGCTGCCATCATTACCCCTTTAAAAAATATTCTGTAAAGCTAAAAAGTCAGGTATAAAAACTGTTTCAATTCTGTCACTAAAACAGGCGCACATTGATTGAATTTTGTAGACTACACCGGCGTAGACTTACAAGCTTCCAATTCTTTTTTTAAAAATGTTTTTATTAAACAGTTTCCCCCCATTTTTTAAAGACCAATATCATCTTTGCAACATTTCCACATCAATAAGCCTCCATTATACTCTTTTTATCTGTACATGTATACCTTTATCTATCTATCTATCTATCTATCTATCTATCTATCTATCTATCTATCTATCTATCTACCTACCTACCTACCTACCTACCTACCTACCTATCTCTTTACACATATTTTATCTAATATAGTAATTTATACTTATATTTCTTCTATACATGTTACTCTTTCAATGTATTTATTTCTACACAATACATCTTATATCCATCTATGTACATCTATTCCTCTTATAACTATTATTCTATGCTATTTTATATACAATATATCTTAGATTTCCCCCCTCTTATTAATTATGCGGTTTTATGATCTTTTCTAATTTCTTAATCTTTCCTTTAATGCTTTCTTATTCTTTGCATCTTTCCTCTAGCCATAAATTCCATACTGTAATACTCAGATTCTCCCAAATCCGACCAACTTCAATTCTTATCTGTCCAAGCCAGAATTGCCAATTTGTCTCCACTGTCATCGCCCATATCGAAGCTGAATTTAAGAAAGCCCACTAAGCTTCATTAAACAGAAGGAACACCAGAAGAAAAGGCACGGTTGATCAAATTAAATACTGATTTAATATGGTATCTTGTCTCTCTCCCTCCATCCCCCGAATAAGAATCCTCACGGAAGCAGGACGCAACCCTGTTCTTCTCCATTAATTTATCAAACAGCCTACTAAAGTCATGTAAGTTGATGGAGGACATATTGTCTCCAGAAATTCAATAGGTCTGCAATAGCGGGGCGGCAGGGAGGTGGGGGAGGAGAAAATCACGCCAACAGATGAAGGGAACAACTTGATAAGCACAGAGCAACCTCACAGCAAGCCATGCGTTGCCCAAAGGAATTGAATTATGAAAGCATTTCCTCATCGAAACAAGATAATGGCAGTTCCATAGATATTGGTAGAAATCATTACATTGGAGAAATTACAGATTAACAGAGTTGGAAGGGACCTTGTAGGTCATCTAGTCCAGCCCCCTGCCCAAGCACTATTTTTACACTATTTCTGACAGATGGCAATCCGGTCTCTTGAAAGCCTCCAGGGATGAAGCTCCCACAACTTCCGAAGGCAACTTCTGTTCCATGGGTTGATTGTTCTCCCTGTCAGAAAGTTCCTCCTTGTTTCCAGGTTGAATCTCTCCTGGTTCAGTTTCCATCCATTGTTCCTTGTCTGGATTTCATGTGCTTTGGAAAATAGCTTGATCCCCCCCTCTCTGTGGCAGCCCCTCAAATATTGGATGACTGTTCTCATGTCTCCCCTGGTCCTTCTCTTCACTAGACTAGCCATGCCCAGTTCCTGCAACCATTCTTCATATCTGTCCATATCTCCCATCCACTAATCATCCTGGTTGCTCTTCTCTGCAATCTTTCTAGAGTCCCAACCTCTTTTTAATAGTGTGGTGACCAAAACTAGATGCAGTCTTTGTGGGGGTCTTACTAAGGCTTTATAGAGTGGTATTAGTACCACTGATTCATCAAATTTTAGCTTTTTGCCCCTTCACGCTCTCAATTTGTTCTCCTTCCCACATAAGGAGACAAAAACTAGGTTCTTCCCGGACACCATGTAGTATCTCAATGTGTCATAGAAGAGATTGCTTCTCTTGTGGCTACCGACGTTCGTGTTTTTTAACAAGGATCAGTGAGATTTTGCTGGTCAACAGTGTTAGAACGAGTTCACACCAAGACCCCCGTTTCATTCCAATCATGCCCAGAACATACCTCATCACAGCGGCGTTCCTGTCTATTTCCACCCAGACTTTTGTAGTCAGTAGCTTTCTCCGGCCTGTTTACGTTGTTTTTGAGGAAGGCTTTTCCTCTGTTGGTTCAGAGAATGTTTGTCTGAATTTTGAACTCTTACGTTTCTCTCACACAGGCAAGTGGCGGAAGTTGGGACGGGCTCCCGTTGTTTGCTTCTCGGGCCCCCCTTTTCTTCGTTCCCTTAAAGAAAGACACACCTTAGAAGTTTTTTTTTTAATGTCTAAGCTTGTTCTGGGATACAGCAAGTTGACCAAAAAACCCCAAGCCCCAGCGCTTGTGGGTGAAGTGAGTGAGATAAAATGGGGAAGTTACAAGGAAGTACATGATTTTGTGAGTTGAGAGGGGGGGGTGGAGGGTTTGTGTTTGGCAATAGCCATTGTGTTTCATCAGCTGGGTCTTCCCCGCTCTTGTGTAATGTCCGTGAGCATATCAAAAATCCAGGCACCTCTCCTGCAGCTGGAGAAAGAAAGAGGGGAGGGGAAGGAAAGAAATATTTTCATTTTCTCGGAAGACACTGTGTGGCAGTGGTGAAATTCAATTTTTTTAAACTACCGGTTCTGTGGGCATGTCTAGGTGGACCTGGCAGGGGAAGGATACTGCAAAGTCTCCATTCCCTCCCCACTCAACACGCAGGCTCAGAGTAAGGGTCAGGAGTGTCATCTAAAAAATTCCTGTGTTTGATTCGCGTCTCGGGGGAATGAACCCAGATAATTTATATCTGCCGCTCGTTGCAAGAAGTAAATTGCATATAAACCAGAAATCTCCCAGTTCAATTCCCTGTTCCCTGCAGGCACCAGTGCTAACAATATACCTGTGTGTTTTCAGCTAACACAAAATCGCATAGTACACAATGTTCCAACCAGGTTCTATAGCCCATCTGAAGCTTGTCGGGTGCATTAAACATAAACGGCTGTGCAATATTTTTTTTCTTTCTGAAATCAATGTCCCATTTTCATCATTGCGACAAGCAGTGTACAAGCGCTGAAAGATAATGGGTGATATTCTCGGGAGCAGATGTCAGGTTGGCTCCAAGCTCAGAAATGAGTCATAAAAACCCCTGATTCCCATCCAATTGCATCTTCAGCTATCCCAACGTTATGCCTTTGCACTTTGCTCAAGTAGAACCTCCTACACCTTCAAGAGACGGCGGACTTGTGTCGTGTGTTCTGAGCGAGGCTTCCCAAGAGCCTGAAGCAAACTCCTTGTCCTGGCAAAAAAACTTTTTATTAATTTCCTGTGAATTCTGCTCCTCCACATCCANTATGTATTGTCTTATGTTTTTTGTCTTTTTACCCCCTTCCCCGTGTTTTGTAAGCCGCCCTGAGTCCCCTCAGGGAAAAGGGCGGCCTATAAATTATAATAAACATTCTAAACATTCTAAACATTACTATTACTATTAATCTTCTCATCGTTCCTATCACACATCTCCTGCCACTTATGACTGCTTGTATCATTACGATTTATATTGATTGTTTCCTAACATGATTTGATTGCTTATTTGTACCCTATGGCTATCATTAAGTGTTGTACCTTATGATTAGTGACTTTACTTTTATGTACATTGAGACCATATACACCAAAGACAAATTCCTTGTGTGTCCAATCACACTTGGTCAATAAAGAATTCTATCCTATCTATTCTATTCCATTCCATTCCATTTCAGGCAGATGAGAATGTGATTAAGTCAAATCTCTTTGACTTGGGAATGGGAAACAGGTGAAAAAGTGACCACTTTTATATGTTTAAAAGAAAAGAAAATCCTTATTTTCTGGAAGGGAACAATTAAGATTTATCAATATCCTGATTTCCTTGTATTTCTGGGTACAAATTGGCCACTATTATTCCATTAAGGAAGCTGATGGGCCCAGCCTGGAAAGTAAGTTTTCTTGTAAAAAGTGTCCTCAGCCTGGGAGAATTTTCTGTTCTGAAGCTCCCTGCTCTTTTGGCTAAAGTAAACCTGAAGTGCCTGGAATTAAATTAGCCCTGTGAGGTTTATGGATCATTATATCTCTTGCAAATTCTAGTTTTATTGCCTGCATCATGCATTTGAATGCGTTTGTTAAAGGCCAATTTATGAGATTATAGGTACATTTTTCCCAGCTTTCTTTTGGTGTAGTGTTATTTATTAATTTTCTAGCTGGATGCCTGTGCTTTGTGACAAAACTATGTGATTGGGCAATGCAAGAGAAATCCAGTTTACTCCAGTTCAATCCATTAGCTCAGTGGTGGACTATCTCTCACGCCGCCTTGAATGCGGAAGCAGTTCCATAGATGGAAGGTGTAGACATTGTGGTGAGGTACTGTAAGGAGCCCCAGGCCGCTCCTGAGTGAAGGAGTGGAACATCTGCCAGTTTGAACTGATGTAACGGAATGTGAAGCAACTGGCAGTTGGAACAGAGTTCTTTTCAGGTGGGGAGTGGGAGTAGAACTCCTTAGCATCAGAGCCTGTTAATTACTGTATACAAAATACTAGTGATCTGATGCTCATTTCAAAAAATCCTTTCTTAGCGAGCACCTAGAAGCCAAGAGGAACATATATGCCAAATTTCAAGTTTGTAGCTTTATGGTTCTGGAGATTTGGCTGATATATATATATAGATTTAATACTTTTTTTTTTTACTCTGGCATTTACAAGAATTGTCGTTCTCACTGTTTGGTGACAGATCAAGTAGCCAACATGAAAGCAGAAACCCTCATCTTTGGGGCTATAGCTCCAGAAATTTGGGGATGGTGGCCTCAACAATGATGCTGCATAAGGAGAAGTGTCTGTTGGCTCTCAGTTCTTTTATGTTCTACTGAGTTAGTTGTACACTTTGTCCTCTTTATTTAGGACGGTTTGGCCCATTGATATTTCCTATTGAAACAAAGAAAAAAAAAACCTTGAATTACTCATAATGACATAACATTCTTCCTGTTTAAATGCTGGCTGTTAATTTTTCCTCTGCTCCATTAAGCACCTATGATTCAGCTGAAGAAGCAAAAACGGCATAAGAACGAAGGCTCTTCTTTGAGTTGCCCTCTTTGGTGTCGTCTCCCCCCAGGTCGCCTGGGCCCAACAGCTCTTAGTCACAGCAATCAGACCCTGGGCATGCTTTCTCACTGAAGAGTGGAGTTACAATGACAACTGAGGTCATGCTGGAATTGCCCAAGACAAGGAAGGGACAGCCAGCCTCCCAACTGACCTTCCTCTCACTGGCTATTAATCATCATTATCTGTTGTGGCCCACTGGTGGCCTGTGGAGCTGACAGCAGAGTTGGATGGTGAGGAGTTTGGGGAGGAACATGGGCCAGTCCTACAGTCTGGGGAAGGCTCGGATGAGGGCTCTGCATCGGAGGCAGAGATCTGGGAGATAGGTGCTGCCTCTGGAGCCTCCAGAGTCAGACATCAGCGAGGCAGAGTGCTCACTAGCGCAGAACTGCCAGAAGGCAAGAACAGCTAAGACGAAAAAGATGTGGAGACTCTAGAAAGAGTGCAGAGAAGAAGAACAAAGAGGATTAGGGGACTGGAGGCTGAAACATATGAAGAACAGTTGCAGGAACTGGGTATGTCTAGTTTAATGAAGAGAAGGACTAGGGGAGACATGATAGCAGTCTTCCGATATCTCAGGATTTGCCACAAAGAAGAGGGAGTCAAGCTATTCTCCAAAGTACCTGAGGGCAGGACAAGAAGCAATGGGTGGAAACTAATCAAGGAGAGAAGCAACTTAGAACTAAGGAGAAATTATCTGACAGTGAGAACAATTAACCAGTGGAACAACTTGCCTCCAGAAGTTGTGAATGCCTCAACACTGGGAGTTTTTAAGAAGATGTTGGATAACCATTTGTCTGAAGTGGTGTAGGGTTTCCTGCCTAGGCAGGGGGTTGGACAAGAAGACCTCCAAAGTCCCTTCCAACTGTTATTCTATTCTAAAAGGGACTACTCGGGAGTAAGGCTTGGAGGTGATTGGCCCCTCCCATAATCCATAAAGGAGGAGCAAAGGCACCTGAGTCTTTGCAGGAAGCAACTTTGTTCATGCTGGTGAGTTTACATTCTGAAGCTCCATTTTGATTCTTTGCTCCTTGTGGCCTTGCAAAGTTAATTGCCAATTAGGTCTTTGGCAATGTTTCAAGGAAGATAAAGGTGGGTGCTTATCAGCCTTATTCCGAAGGACTTTGGCAGACTTCTGTCAGACTCTTTACAAACTATTTGTGACTTATTATGGGCTATGAATGCACATAGTTCTCAGCCTTTGAAATAAAAGGAGGATTTTTGGGACTAAGTGTGTGCTTTTCACTGTAATCAGGAAGCCTAGATCAGAATATCATCTTCTTTTAATGACCCCCATAATCCCTTGCGGGGTAGAGTCTGGCCAATTGAATGGTGCTAGCAGAGTGTTTTAATGGCCGGATGCCCGTCCTGTCGCCAATGTGGAGTTTTGTTCAGCAGATATATTTTCAATGTGCCCAGAGAGAGAAATATCAGCCTCTACCTAGGATTGAACTCGCAGCCTCCTAATTGTGAGGCTAGAGCTCCACCTCTGGGCTATTGACAAAACACAGCTTCTGTGCTTAGTTTNAGCAGTCTTCCAATATTTGAGGGGCTGCCCCAGAGACGACGGGGTCAAGCTATTTCCCAAAGCTCCCGAAGGCCAGACAAGGAATAATGGATGGAAACTGACCAAGGAGAGATTCAACCTGGAAATAAGGAGGAATTTTTTGGCAATGACACCAATCAACCCATGGAACAGAAGTTGCCTTCGGAAGTTGTGGGGGCTTCATCACTGGAGGCTTCCAAGAAGAGACTGGACTGCCATTTGTCAGAAATGGTGTAGGGTCACCTGCTTTGGTGGGGGTGGGGGTGGACTAAATGACTTACAAGGTCCCTTCCAATTTTGTTAATTTGTATCCGAAAGTAATCAAGGAGAGAAATAAGGAGAAATTTCTTGACAGTGAGAACAATTAGTCAGAGGAACCTTTGTCTCCAGAAGTTGTGGGAGCTTCATCATTGGAGGCTTTCAAGAAGAGACTGGACAGCCACCTGTCAGAAATGGGATAGGGTCTCCTGCTTGAGCAGAGGTTGGACTAGAAGACCTCCAAGGTCCCTTCCAACACTTATTCTGTATTTAGCCTAGAAAGTCTCTAAGGGGAACTCCCAACACTGATGATCTTTTAGCAGCCTCCGAGGACAGAGCAGGTCAAGGACACAGGATCCATTGAAGCAGAAACTTGTTAAGTCTCCCAATTCTTTCAGCTCCTGTTTCTGTCACCCCTTCAGTTCTCAAAGAAAGGCCAAGCGTGTGAGTGACACCTGGCCTAATG